GACAAGAAGCTGGTTCTTTGAAAGGATTTTTTTTAAATCGACAGACCATTGGCAAACGTAACAAAATAAAAAATGGAGAAGACACAAATAACACGCATTAGAAACCACATGGGCAATGTCATAACGGAACAGAAGGAAATCAAAAGTACAAAAACAGATACTATGAAGAGTTGTACTCCAACAAATTTGAAAACTTAGAAGAGATCAATACATGTTTAGATAAACACGACCTACCTAAACTTACACACAGTGAAGTAGAAAACTTGAACAGACCCATAACAAAAGAAGAAATTGCTCAGGTCATCAAAAGACTCCCAACCCAGAAAATGTCAGGCCCAGATGCACTGGAGAATTCAACCAAACATTCGGGGAAGACCTTTCACCAATTTGACCCAAATTATCCCAGAAGATAGAGGAGGATGGAAAACTTCCTAATACATTGTATGAAGCAAGAATAACCCTCATACCAAAAGCAGGGAAGGACATCACTAAGAAAGAAAATTATAGATCAATATCCCTCATGAACATAGATGCAAAAATTCTCAACAAAATCCTAGCCAACAGAATCTAACAATACATCAAAAAGATAATACATCATGATTAAGTGGAATTCATATCAGGGATGCAAGGATGGTTCAACATTAGAAAAACGATCAACGTTATCCACCATATAAATAAGAAAAAAGAAAAGAACCACAAGATCATATCAATTGATGCAGAAAAGGCATTTGACAAAATCTAACATACATTCCTCATAAAAACACTCAACAAAATAGGAATTGAAGGAAAATTCCTCAAAATAATTAAGAGCATATATACAAAATCAACACCCTACATTACTCTCAATGGAGAGAAACTGAAAGCCTTCCATCTGCAAACAGGAACCAGACAAGGATGCCCTTTGTCACCACTCCTATTCAATATTCTGCTGGAAGACTTAGCAAGAGATATACGGCAAGACAGGGAAATTAAAGGCATCCAAATTGGCAAAGATGAAGTAAAACTCTCCCTATTTGTAGACGATATGATCCTATATGTAGAAAACCCCAAAGACTCAGTAAAAAAGCTCCTAGACCTCATTGGAAGATTCAGCAAAGTGGCAGGATATAAGATCAACATGCAAAAATCAGTTGGATTCCTTTAGAACAAAAATGACAGTGTTGAAAAGGACATTAGGAAAGCAACACCATTTACAATAGCCACCCAAAGGATGAAATATCTAGGAATAAATGTAACCAGAGAAACAAAGGACTTATACAAAGAAAACTACAAAACACTACT